CCCCCCTAAAAACCTGAAATAGTTTTTTTCAGGTTGGGATCCCTGCATATGTGATAATTTTTGTTAAAATTAATTTTTAGAAACAGGGTCTCCCCCCAACCAGGTCTTCAATCCAGACAGATATTTATTTTCATTTAGTTTAACGTTCCACAAATGTAATGCAATTAAATCTTTTTGAAGAATTAGCACAAATTGTGATCGTGTTTTAATTTATTTGGAGAAATCAAGAGTGGCACATCTGAACAGATTAGTAACCTAAACTTTGATAGATCTTGGTGGTTAAAAATATGTTAGTTTTACCCTTGATAATGGCTGTTTTGAGTGGGAAACAATACTGCCCAGTAGCGCTATATTGCATGCGTTTGCATTCATTGACCCACCATAAATCAGATGGTGCTAGTCGGTAGAGTCTTTGACCACCAGAGGGCACTAATTCTACAGACATTTTGTTAGAAGACCGTTCCAGGCCTGAGGCTGAGATCCTCCCAGCAATTTGTGTTTACTTCTCTCTGGAATTTTTTAGTACGTCAAAGCATTTTTTTTCTGCTGGTGATCGTTACACCTTAAAACATTTCCTTAGTCTCTTCTTACCCAGTCATCGCTCATTCTGTAATACTGTCACTTTGCAGGAGATCACAACATTTGAGCTAGCAGTAGAAGACTAAAGCTGCCCATGCACTTTTTGACTTTGGGGCGAGTCATGCTGAGTCAGCTGAAATTCTACCATCGCGTGGCCCCGTCAGTACCCCTCTGACAAAAGTTGTTGTTTTTTTATTTGATTTTAGTCAAAGGAGCTGGTTGAAAATTCTCGGGCTGCAGTCACTGTTTGGGTATTCTGGCACTAGCACACTCGCTGCTGTGAGAATATAATTGCCGCTGCATGGGGGACTCACGCTATTTAGCATGAATTGGTAATGAAGCTTTTTTTTTTTTTCTCATTCACACTGCAGGTCTATTTCTGAACATTTTGCAGAACCATTTGCTCTGCACATCTCTCTGAACGTTAGTTCTGTGTAAATAGAAGCAAAAACTAATTTTCTTAATACACTGCCTGGCCAAAAAAGAACACTCTAATATTTCATTGGGCCTCCATGATTACATCAAGCATAGGCTGTAGCATTGTTTCAATAAGCCAATGCAATGTCACTACATTTATTTCTGTCCAGAGTTGCATTCATTTTTTCCCAAGATCTTATAGTGATGATGGGCGAGTCAGACCACTGTATAAAATATTCTCCAGCACATCCTAAATGGGACTAAGGTCTGGGCTCTGTGGTGGCCAATCCATGTGTTAAGATGATCTCGTATGCTCTCTGAACCACTCTTTCACAATTTGAGCCCAATGAATCCTGGCATTGTCATCCAGGGATATGCCCATGACATCAGGGAAGAAAAAAATCAATTGATGGAAAAACCTGATCATTCAGAGGGTTATTCACTATAGAGCCAAAGGATCCAGCCATAGCTTCGGCTGATCCTTCAGCTCACTTTGGCCGCTAGAACCCTTCGGTTCCGTTGAACCGAAGTCATGCTGTACAGGCTATTCACAATAGTCTATACAGCAGCCAAGCCGAACCCATATGCTTGAGCTCGCCTGAGCCGTAGTGTAGAAAGCGTGTAGAAAGACCGACTGTACTTCACGCAAATGAAAGCTGGGCGGTACCAGCCGAGATCTCACAGCTCGCTCCGCCCAGTTGTAATGACAAATCAGCATCCACAAATGAGCTGAGGACGCTGATCTGTCATTAAACTATAACATGGTGGGGGAGGGGGGGGGCACGCTCGCTCTCCCGGCCTGTGCTTGGATCAAGGCTATGGTTGGTTAATCCCATGTCCTTTCCCCCCTCCCCCCCCATTTTTGGGGGTGTGGTTCCTCCCTAAAATTCCTACCGGACCTTAAGGGCCTAGTATGACTTTAGGGGGAACCCCACGCACTTTTTAAAAAATTCTTACACTTGGGGTCCCTCCTAAAATTCCTACCAGACCTAAAAGGTCCTGGTATGACTTTTGGAGTGAAAAAGAGTTTTTAAATACTAAAAAAGGGTCTAAAAAGGAAGCTCCATGCTTTTTTTTTTCCTTTTTAAATGGGGTCCCTCCTTTCAATAATTTTTCAACTTTTTTTTCTCATTTGTTTACATTTATTTCTATTCTGTTGCTACCTCGGAGGCATTCGGCTAGTCATGAGAATAAGGGGCGAACTGCAGCGTGAAAACTGCTGGTGCTTCGGTTCAGCCGATCCAGATGTTGGATAGGCTGAGTCAAACTCTTTCTGCACTTCGGCTCAGCCGAACATGACCGAAGGCAGCCGTACAGAGCCGGAGTGAATAGCCGAACGTCTTTTGGCTCTGTTCTCGTCGGCTTAGTAATTCACTCGGCTCCTCAGCTCCATCTAGTGGCCATAATGCAGTATTATAGTGCACTTGACCTGAAAAGAAAATAAACTAGGAATGTACTTTTTTTTTTTTCTATTCGCACAGAACAAATGTTGAGATTCACAGGGTGAATGACTATGAATTGTTTATAAATAGACCTCAAAGTGTATGGCCAGCTTAAGATCTGTACACACAACTCAGGAGCGTATGATATTCTATTGGAGATGTAATAAATACCTGCAAGTGCTACAATTACACGAAAAACAATATCGAACGCAAGGGTTACTTTAATAGACCACTGTTAAAAGCTTTAATATTACCTTTTAGTTTTATAAACCAATATGGGAGAATGACAGCAAGAGCCTGATTGCTTTGGGTGGGGCATCAGAAACTTTCTTAATTATGGCTTTATAAGCAATGCCAAATGTATTAGTAAAAACCAGATGCAATTCAGTTTCAAAACACTAAAAAAATGTAGTTCTATATGGAAATTTCCATAAATTCTATCCCACTCCGAATAACAATATCAATCTAGTAAGTTAGTAAAGTTACTTATTAAAGATGCCCATAGGATGTACTTCCTCTATGCATGGACACAATTTCACTCAGCCCTGTGAATACGTACGTTGTGACACAACTCTCACGAAACTTGCTTTCTGAACTAAAACTCCACATCTGAACCCTAACATTATCATTGCTTGCTGGAAGGAATGAATTATGGGCCCTGAGAAATTGAGATTGCATCTCTTTAAGCAGCAGGGAAAGAGATGCAAAGCACACTGGAAATCCAGGAAGTTGATCAAAGAGATGGTCAGATGGAAGGCAGCACTTACTACATAAAAGGAATGTTTTCAAGTAAGCTTTGATTGCATTATCAAAAAACAACTATAGTATGTATTCCCAGTACAATGCTCATGTTATTAGACAATAGTATATGCTGTGACTCTAGAACTCCTTTATCTATGTAAACTTATACCATTGTAAGGTAACATGTAAAAGTCTTGTGTGTTCATTAACAATTACATATGTAGAAATGTCACCAGCACAACAAATCCTATTAGGATAACAAAACAGTTTTTTTATTTGCAGTTATCAGAAAAACAAGTGCTTTCAGGACCACACAGGGTCCCTTCATCAGGCTTTAACATTGAGCTCAATGTTAAGCCTGATGAAGGGACCCTGTGCGGTCCCGAAAGCACTTGCTTTTCTGACAAGGAACTGCAAATAAATGAACATTTTGCTATCCTAAAAGGATTTGGTGTGCTGGTGACATTTCTACATATTGCTGATGTTTGCAGCGCCATCCGCAGCCACTGCGAGCACCGACCCCATTACAAGGGACTTTCGGTAAGGAGTGCACAAAGTAAAAGTGTTTATTGTCATTAACAATGAAAGTCACTAAATCTATGAAGAAAAACAAATCGCTCAGTTCTTTTCAATAAACTTTATTGAAAGGTACATTGCTTACTGCATTCAACAGAGGCACTTTCTGTTTACATTGTTGCATCATATTAGCACTCCAGAATGTGCAGACTTACCGCTGAGCAGCTTAACTAGTGATGGGCAATATGCGTTTCACCATTGCCAAGTTGAGCATTAGTTGAAATTTTAGATTGCCCGACTGATCTTAACACTTAGCATTTCACATACTGTAAATATTCTATAACAGGGGTACTTTAGAGTTAAACTAACATGAGCAATTTTACTGGGAGAGTCATTTACAAAACTGATTTGTAGTTTTAAAATCACATCCTCGTTATATTGCATTACATCAGAGCATAGGCATATATGAGATCTGACAGAATTCTAGTGGACTTGGGAAAGGTGGCAAATACATCAGTTAGCACTTAGACAATGCCTTAGATCCATTGTATAGCACATTGGAACCCCCAAAACCCAAGTGTACTGTACAGCAGATAGGTGACCAAGCTTATTGACCTCAGGTTAAAGCTCCAACCTTTCCCCTGAAATTGCCTTACTATTGCATAGTAAGAGTGCCCATCACAATAAAAGTACAACTGTAAGCCTACTTTGTTTGTATGGCACAGCAACACCCCAATGCAAACAGTTCATTAAAAACCCAAAGACACAGGGCCATCACCACCCATCAGGGAGGTTGCCTATTCATTTACTGTACATAGCACCCCATATTTTGTAGGTCCCAGGCTGCTATAAGTACTAGCATCTGGATGCGCCTTCTAACTGCTGTAAGTGACATTTCTTTTTTTATGTTTCACCACATAGGATAAAACTAAAGCTCGCCATACACCAATAGAATTTTGTTTGAAACTTTTTGATTTTCTAAGAGTTACTGTGGTCAAATCGACGATTGTTCTCAACTGTATTAACGAAAGAATTAAAGGTGTGGGATGGAGATTTTTTCTCCAACGAGCACAATTTTAACAGTAAATGTGGTTTTCATTAGGGGAACTCCATCTATTTCAAAATTGAATGTTAAAAATCACATGCAATTTTGAACTACTGAATCCTCTGTCAAGATTTTTCATGTGAACGTTCGTATGAAAATCTACAAGTGTATGGTCAGCATTAGCCAACCTTAAATTACACCTATTAAAAAGTACCTTTTTTTTTTTTTTTAAAGATACATATACAGTGTGATATAAAACTAATGTAAAAGAGACTAGATTAGTACCTGCCTATTAATTTTTCCCTAAAGATACACAGTATACATCTACTCAGCGTATTTACTTCAGTTCTATGTATTCCCTAGTTACATTAATCTGCTGTTAACAGATTTGTCACAAATACTAACGGTACCAAAAAGGCCTTTAACAGTGCTCCCCCCCAATTGCCTTTCTGCCATTAAAAGGTTTTTAGATCATGTACAGAAACTCTCCTTCATCAAGGGAATGGAGTGAAAGAAGATATCGTGTTATTCACTAGGCATTGCCTAGCAGACCATGGCTTCACTAAACCAGGTGTGATGCGTACAAGATAAACCGTCTGGATATCAGAGAACAAATGCCAAATCTGCTACAACAGACACCAACCATGCTTAAAATTAACGCAGCTAAGGTTTCAGTGATAACCTTAAACATGCCCTATAGGTATAGTCCACATTTTCCAAAATAAATGCACACATTAAACAATGTGCATTTATTTTTTTTGCCTTTGAGCCTGTAAAAACATTGCAATTGAGATCAGTAGATCACGGATGCAATGTTCTGACTCCTGCAGACTCTTCCACCCAGCCCCAGGACTGTACGGAAGTATGGACTTGGTTACAGGACGGGAGGAAGTTTTAATGGACTACAATGTCACCACACTTATACTGCACTGGGAACTACAAGTCCCTCTGCCATGGTGTCAAATGGGACTTGTAGTCTTTCTATTCACAGATACTGTGAAAGGATTTGTGAATTGATAATGCTGCTGTGCTGGCAGAGCCACACCAGTTTACAAAAAAAAAAAAAAAAAGAAAAACAGGGGGGGGTGGGGTATGTGTGACCATGCTTCATGTCATGGATGTAACATGAAACTTGGTCTGAAATGTGACGTTATTCTTTAAACCCTAAAGTCTAGCCAAAGGCCATTATATCCCTAAAACAGTAGTGTGATCATGTTTTGTACCTGAAGTGTAAGTAAAATCCTACAGGAGCCCTTATTGCCCAAAAACAGCAAATGTTAACCTTTACTAGAAGTAGACGGTAATAATTAAAAGGGCAGGTTGCTTTGTTTACAAAAAAAAGTGCCCTACCTTTTTCAACCAGGCAAAAGGTTTGAACTCCAAACTAGCAAAAGCAGGCAGATATATTGTAAATATTCAGCCCTGCAAGGTCACAATAAAACGTTAATTTAACAAGTAAAGTGCATTTTCTTTTTTTTTTTTTTTCCTTTTTTGGGGAAATAAAATAACAGAGGACTTTAAGTTTTACATTTAAATCAAAGATGGCAAACATTCTGATGCATTGCTAGGTCCCTTAGGAGTTGAGCAACCTGGATGTTGTCGTTCCTTGATTTAAATAGTAGCGTATTTTTCTTGACACTGCTTTTCTCTAAAGTTGAACTCTGGCATAAGCAAATTACATTTTTTGTTCCCGGAGTTCCAACTTTAAAAAGGAGAACTATGAGGTGAGTGCTTTTCACTCACCTCATAGTTCTAGCCGACCTGTGACAATGAGACTGTCACAGGTCGGCTCAGTAGATCGGGAGGTGAGCGAACACATACCGGCGTTCGCTCACCTCTCGATCCTGTCACGGCTCTCTGCCCTGACAGGGGAGGGGCTGGATTCCCCCCTCCCCACCAGCGCTGACTAGCGGAACGGACGGGGGAGGGTACAGCTGGCTCTGCCGCTAGATAGGCAGAGCCAGCTGTCAGTCACGCAGCTGGGCGGATCCTGGCACAATTGTCGGGATCCGCTTTAGCTGCGGCATCTCAGTATACCGCGAGCAGCAGCTCGCGTTACACTGCGGCGTCTCAGTATACTGAGCCTAGGCTGACGGGGGGACGCTAGTTTGTGTCCTCCCGTTACCCTAAGGAGAACTATGGGGAAAAGCCTTAACCCCATAGTTCTCCTTTAAGCTAAACTTGTAAGTAGTACTTTCAGTACACTGGTTTTAAACTTCGGTTCTCATTTACGAAGTGGAAAGAGTGCAAGTCACTGCAAGCAATCAACTGTATAGGCATTCAAATTTCAGAATTTTAGTTAAATCTTCAATTATACAAAGCTAACTTTGCATTTCAGTTTCAGTTACTGGAAACGTATCCATTAATTAGTAAATGTGCTTTCTGGAATCAAGAACCTCTCATATGTAAAAGGAAAACTCTATAGAAATGTAAAAGTGGACCGCTACGTCAGATCCTTTCTATATAGGAACACCGAAGGATCTGCCCCATTGGTTTTCACTGCTAATTATAATGACTTGGATTACTATAATTAATTCAATTATGATAGCATTAGTTTAATGCAGCATCCACACAGGAAAAAGTGAGAACTGAAGCGGGGAAGATGACCTCAAGCAGTAACACCTTTATGACTTTAATTTAAAGCTGTACTTGACTTTGAGATGCCTGTAATTTTCCTTCTAATAACCATAAAAGCATGTACAGAGGAAGAAACTGCAGCTGCTCCTTGATGTCCCTCTTTCTCTTCATAAAGTCTCTATGTAACCCTCAACATTGACCTCGTAGATTAGTTACTTTGGAGCTAGGCCTATACAGCCTCACTAAAACAGTGCATTTCACATTTTCTATCACAGTATGTACAATAAAACAAGTCTCCAGTGGAAAAAGTATCAAACTGTGTATCTATTTCCCTACTTAAAACGTTTTCCTTTTAAGTTGTAAGCATAATAAAATGTATAAACTAGCTGCCATTTTATCCTTGGATTCACATTTTGTGCATTCCAAACAAATGCTCCATAGTCCATAAAATTAGTATCAGACCATTCTTGTATGCCCTTTCCACTTGTGTAACCTGTGGGGGGAAAAAAAAAGAAGCATATTATTAATGTGTTGGTGAGTACTCAAATAAACATATTACATGATAAAGCGTCTTGTCATCAGTATGCCAATGAACTGCATCAAAAAGAACTGTAAAATATCACTTAACATGTTAGGCTAGGGTAATAGACCTTCATAAAACAGTCAGAGACAGCCCGGTCACTATGCTGTGAGTGCCAAGTTAAAGCGTTTTCAGCAAAGAACAGTGAAGCTGGCTGTACACATGCGGCAGCTTGGCGGTCAAGGCACACCCACCATGCTACCCCATAAATAAAGGGGTTAATGAAACTGGGAACAAAAGTCACTGAAACAAAAAGGTTTCTCTGGCAGTACCCCAAGAATAGTTGTTCATAATAATAAGCCGTGACATATTTAGCCTTCCTTCACACTTTTGTTTTCTGGTGTACTGTGTTAATGCACACTACCATGCATTCATTTGAATGCCTGCCGCTGCGCTGCCTTAGTCCTCTGGGTGCCATTAAAAATGAATGGCAACACACTAACGCCTGTAATCTGCATTGCTATGCAATGCATAAGTGCGCAGGGTCCACAAAAGAAAGCGCTCATGGGCAGCACAGTGGTGTAGTGGTTAGCGCTTCTGCCGTGCAGCACTGGGGTTCAAATCCCGGCCAGGTCACTATCTGCAAGGAGTTTGCATGTTCTGCGTGGGTTTCCTCCCATACTCCAGGTTCATTGGCTCCTCTCCAAGTTGGCCCTCTAAGTATGCATGTGAGATAGGGACCTTAGATTGTAAGCTCCTTGACGGTAGGGACTGATGTGAATGTGCAACTATGTAAAGTGCTGCGTAAATTGTCGGCGCTATACAAATACCTGAAATAAATAAATGAGAGAATCGTGAAGGCTGCAACTACTGACCTCTCCTTATGAAAATAATTGCATCGCTATGATGCTGCTTGCTGCACCGACTTCAATTATGATTACCATGATTTTTTTTTAAATCATCCAGTCCCATTTCATATTATATTATAGGTTTTGCCCTTTTTGGTTTCATATCCTAGACATGCCATAGCTTGCTCGCCGGAAAAGCCTTCTTCCTAATACCAATAGCAAAAATCAGCCATCTTTATTACCTTTAAAAAGTAAACAGACAAAGAGTAACAATTACCTTCAACAGCATCAGGAGCCAGTTTCTGGAATTGTGGGTAAATGTTCTATCCTATAGTAACTGTGCTTCAGCTGTCTTGCTGTGCGACCTGACACAATCCATTTTAGCTTTTGAACATTTGGCTTCGAACATTTGCCTGAAGAATACTCTGCAAGGCACTTTGATACAAACTCTTTCCAACAGAACAAGTCTCTGCTGTTGAGCTGGGGAAACAAAACAAAAAGTTAAAAAAACAAATGGGTTTTCTATAATGACTTAGAGAACTATAAGGTGAGAGATTTTCACTCAACCTCATAGTTGGAGCTGACGTGCGACATTGAAACTGACACAATAGATTGGGAAGTGAGCGAACGGATACCGTCGCTCGCTCACTTCTCGATCATCTCCCTGCAGGGATTCCCCCCTCCGCGCTCCGATCCTCCAGTGCTGACTGGCGGAATGGACGGCGGAGGGGGCAGGTACAGCTGACTATGCCTCTAGATAGGCAGAGCCAGCTGTCACTCACGCAGCTGGGTGGATCTCGACAGGAACGCCGGAATCCATCCAGGCTGCGGCGATCTCAGTATACCGCGAGTTGTAGCTCGCGATATACTGAGCTTTGGGTCACGGGAGGATGCTAGTATATGTCCTCCCGTGACCCTTAGGAGAACCATGGGGAAAAACACCCCATAGTTCTCCTTTAAGGCAGAAGTGTAATGTGCACATATAATACTTTCCGTTCTGTTTTGAGACCCAGTGATATCATCACTGGGTCTTTCTGCTCGTCCTTGCTCCATAGTAATAGAGTTTGATGCGAGGGTCAGTAGGCTCCTGTAAATGTCACAAAACCCTGCCTTAAGCGATATATCAAAGAACACATCCCCAGAATCCCTGTAGAAGTGCAGATCTGCTGGACAATGGGTGCTGCAGACTTTAGCTGTGCAATCTGCCGATTAGTTGTTTGATTACACTCTAAAAGAGTATAGTCAAGCAACTGATCAACAGATTGCACAGCTAAAGTCTGCACCAAAGTCCTAAAGATCATTCCCACACAACAATTGATAGCAAAGAAAGCAAAAAAATGGGGGGCCAACTGCAGTAGAGATCAGTGGAAGAGGGGATTGATGATGATTGAATTGCTCGAGATAGTTGCTACAGCTTCAAAGGGTTATATTGTAGAGATACAAGCCTGCAGGGAATGGACAGTAATCCATTTTAACATATGAGAGGGCTTGCTACAAGTGTGGGAATAAAGGCAAGGCCAGTGGTCAGCTTTAATTACAAGTAGACAAGTATGAATAACTAATTGTACTAAAGCAAACAAATCTGTAAGGAATTATCCGGCAGGCTTGTCATTTTCACAGATTCTTACTGCAGGCTGACAGATAAAGTGCACTTATTTTGTAGCAGAGTATGTGCAATTGATGAAATTGCGTGTTATAAGAAAAAGAAAAAAAAAAAAGGTATACCCAGCTTTCCCCTATATTACAAAGACTTTATTGTTACATTTTTTGCACCAGATGATGGACATGACGATTTGTTTTTATGGGCAACTGTATAGAGATAAGCCAGTGCCTAAAATAAAACAGTGACCCAGGAACATAGCCTGGATAAAACTGCTACTAAAATGTGAAATTAAAACCAAGCAAGACAGTTAACATACAGTATATGCATTAGAACAGTGTATTTAGTAGTTTGCCTGGAATTCCGCAGCTGTATTTTATATAACTTACCTTGGAATGTTTCTGTAGAGATTCTAATACATCTGTCAGTTCAAATAACTTCTGCTCCTGAACTTCAACAGCCAAAATTGACAAGGCCAACATGGAGGGCTGAGCAAGACAAAGACAAGCTTGAGCTGTAAAATGTGCTGTACGTCATGTTTGAAAGCCACCTTTCTGCATGAATCCAATACCGTAAAAACTGAAGCCAAAATGTTTTTTCGTTTTGGATAGATTAAGGAGGGGGGGTTACAACCTCTATCAGTTTCTACTTGCCATGTGTCCCATTTGGGAGATTTCCCTTCATATCCTGCCGGATAGGCCACAACATGAAGTTAACAGGGTCACCAGAACTAGTGTTCCTTTTGGACGATTCCCATCTATTCCTGTTCTGATGAAAACCACAACATTTTGTATTTTCTTTCATCTTCAGTGGTACCTGTCACCAGGACAAATATAGAGGTTGATTCTCTCTATTAGGGACACAGACAGCAATACAAACCTGACAAGTGTTCTAATCCCGAAAACTAGGGATGCACAGATACTTTTCGAGTACCAGTGCAGATACCTGGCCTTTTCATGAGAACTACCAAGGTTGCAGCAGTTGCAGCTGGGACCTAGCTCTGGCACTCCACCACTGTCCTGAAATCATTAGTCTGTATTGTTTTAGAAAAAACTGTCACATGACAACAAAAATGTATCAGTACTCGTACTTGTAAGTACTCGGCAAGTACCATTACTCGTAAAACTGTATCTGTGCATCCATTTATTTATAAAAACAAAATCGTACATTAAAACAGAGATGTACAAATCCCAGAAGCTCCTTACAAATGAATGCTGCCTCCTAATTTTTTTCTCTAATCTAGTCTTGGAGCTCAAAAGTATCTGTACTTGTACCGAGTACTGTACTTGGTATCTGTGAAACCCTACCGAAAACTAAGAAAAACGTTTTGGCTTCAGTTGCACTTCAATGTTACTTTTGATCACTAACAGTGTTCAATCAAAGTGTCCATTATAACATCAGGCATTGACAAAGATCTACATGTTATTACGTATATGATACATGTCCCATCACTTCAATGACTCACCTTTGCTTTGGAAAATGCAATCTTGCAATGACAGGCTTTCAGATTTGTTTCGAGCCGCTCTAATGTAAATAGTTTTTGCCTGGGAGGAAGAAATAAAGACATATATAAATAAAAGGAAACAACACTAAACAAACATGGTGATAATCAGTGCTTGATTGGGCCAGTTTCAGTCAGATCAGGAGACAATCCTCAGATTTGCACAGTTGGTAAAGCTGAAGACACAGTTCCATCCAGTTCAACCCATATAAATACAGGTGAAACTCGATTAGAATATCGTGCAAAAGTAATTGCAGTAAGTGCTCCAAAAGGGGCCCAAACCAAGTACTGAGTACATATGCATGCTTGTACTTTTCAGAGGTCCGATATTGTTCTATGTACAATCCTTGTTTTATTGATTGCATGTAATAATCTACTTTTTTGAGGTTGTGGATTTGGGGTTCTTGGGGTTTTCATGAGCTGTAAGCCATAATCATCACAATTATGACAAATCACGGCTTGAATTATCTTGCTTTGTGTAAGAGGTGTAACGCAGTTGTAGCTTTCACTTTCCAGCCCAACTTTTCTAACACAATCTTCTCCATCCGCATCATGTCAAACACACTAAACTTATACTGGCTGATTCTGATTAAATCCGTTGCCAGAGGGACATTTCTCTCATCTTCTGTGGCTTTTACTGCTAGATAGAAACAGGTGAGGCCGACACAACCTAGATGTTTTGGCTGCACCTACAAAAAAAAAAAAAAATTACTGAAAGAATTGAATATGCAAGTGTGTTATCTGGACTCAATTAAATCACTCCAAGCAGCAACATAGGGCTCCCATTCACACTTTTCATTGCATCAAGCCAACCCATTACTGTGGATTAAAAGAGAAGTATGGCCAAACAGTTTTTGGCCGTAGTTCTCTTAAGGGTCACCGGAGGACATTTATTAATGTCCTCCTGTGACCCAATACTCAGCATCTAGCAGGCTATTGCCCACTATATGCTGACAGCACAGAGCCACGCTGCAGTTAGAAAACATCCTGACTATCCTCCTGTGATTTCCTTCACCATGGCACCGACAGAGAGAAGAGCAATGAAGAAGAGAGTACTATATCCCATTCAGGCTCTGTTGCAGTTCTCAGATGCTGAGCGGAACAGACTGACAGGAGACAGCACAGTGAGCAGAGAGTTGATCTCCATGTGTTACTGCTCCTACACTATCTAATCAGCTGGCTGGGGATGTGTTCTTTACTATGCTATGCTTCCACAATAGTGCAGACCAGGAAGCTGGCTATTCTTTGTCGCAGCGGTAACTGATCAGTACAAAACCTTTGGCAGTTTAATATGTATTTCAGCTGAGTATATAGTTACTTGTGTGGAGTTAAACTTCAAAACACACTGTTGCAAAAAAGGAAAACATTCAATGCCACTAAAGCATACGTCCATTATTATTGTGTATACAATGCATTGTTGGCTCTGTTTTCACAGATACAAACTGCCTACCTTCATTTTAGCTAAAAACCGGTCCAGAAGGTTCACAGATAAAGAGAACGTCTCTGTACTGAATCCAAAGAACTGAGTTAAGCTAAGCAAATCTTTCACTTCAAAGTCGCGAAGTCTGGCAGTCATCCGGAGGCCATTGTCATGAGTCGTTTCAATCAGCCGCAAGCCACAAGCTTTTGGCTGGCATTTCAGCTCCTGCTCCAAGAGTGAGTTCAGCTGGTGAAGAAGGTTCTGAGCTTCTGATGTTACAAGCGTGTCAATCATCTGAAAATGCAAGCAGAATTGAAATTAGATTCAGCAATGATCTGCTGTGCTCTAGAATGTCTACAGAACTCAGAATGCACACTAGAGTCATAATGGACCTGACTGCAAAGAGACCCTGTCAACAACAACAAAAAATTGCAGATAAAAACTTTCAGTGGTTTTTTTTTCCAATAGGTAAGCAACCTTGGTACTCCAGGTGTTGTGGAACTACAAGTCCCATGAGGCATTGCAAGACTGAAAGCCACTGGCATGACAGGATTTGTAGTTTCATTACAGCTGGCGTGCTGAAGTTGCCTACCCCTGCCATTGCGTTACACTTGAGTCACAGCTCTGAGTCTGCTGACATTACATCCGAGGTAGTTGTACCCAGCAGCAGTCTCACATCTTTTGGACTGATCTATTTAAATGATTTGGATGGCATACATTAAATTCATATATTAAATGTACATATCATTTTATGGGAAGATCTTTGTTGAAATTAATAGTCTGGTGACAGGTAAGCTGTCGCAAACCTGTGTGAACAGAGAACGTGATAAAAGAGCGACTAAACGTTGATTTTTTTAACTGAAGGTAACCCATGTGAAAATGCTCCATTAGATATAGGTTACTGAAGTTAGGTTACTGAAGTTAGATGTCAATCTCACCCTTTGTGATAGCCAGCTTTGCTTTTTGTTAAGGATGTGCCCTCTTTTCACTTTCGGGAAATGACTATAGCCATTGAGTATGCTTTGTTTCATGTGATGTTTTGTCACATGTTTACGTGACACTTCCCAGAGAAGAATGAGGCACTTCACTGACATATAGTTCTATAGTACTAACTCACATATATACATGTTGTGGTAATGGCACTACCCTCAGATGGAGTGCCATAGAAGAGATTGGGACTGGGGATCAGGTGCCCCTCTTATATTTTGCTCCAAGGTTCTGTAATCCAAAGCAACAATCACTGATGTCATCCCTAGTTGCAGCACACCTATGTTATGCGGCTCTGACCCCTCTCTAATCAAATCTAAACAAAGTTTTCCCCTTTGTTATACTTTGAGTAAAGATGGTGGTGCTATGTGCGGAAACAAGCTTTTCTTTCTTTTCAAGGTTATGCATCACTAGTCTGCAATGTATCATCGGGCTCTATTCAAACGCACTAAGGCATGAACAGATGCAGCTGCTGACACAGTCATACTGTGCTAAGAGACAGAATCCCCCTACCTCCCCCCCTCCATCATACCAGACAGTGATCAGGCCCAAGCAGAGAACGGAGCCTGTCACTACAACACACTATGTAGCCACGCCCCCAAGGCCACTGACAGCAATGACAAACCACGCCTAGAGCCATAGAACGCTTAGGACAAATCACCCTCCCCCTGGACGACCACACCCCCTTCCTCGGTGTACAGAGGACAAGCCCAGACTTGTTCCATCTATTGCGAACACTGATCATCAATGTCTGAGGCCCGATTGCTGAATTCACCTCCCAGTATCCGATACATAAGATCACATCAGGGAGCAAGAAACTACTTGTTCATTCTTTTTTATCGGTCAGCTAGACTAGAGCACTAGCCTCACACACAGAGACAAAAACAGGATCTACTTCCTGTGACCTGGGCCCTGTCATTTTAACTGACCACTGAATCAGACAGTTCTAGATGATACAGGACTACCATCATTGATCAAATACACAGATCATATGGATGGGCAACTTTATTCCCACATGATGATCATACAATCCAATATTATTAAGGACATGACAACAAAAGAAGGATGCACACAGCAAAGACAATAGTGTAATAACCGATCGTATAGGAATACTTGGTCCCTGTCCCCAAGAGCTGGCAATCTATAATGATGAATTGGAACTGGCTTACAGAACAATTATACAGCGAGCGAAATGCATTGATAAATTTCCCCCAGTGTGTTTCCAAAGGCTCGTAATCTATAATAAACTGGAACTGCTTACAGAACTACACAGTGTGCTCCCAAGAGCTTGCAATCTACAACGATGAACTGGAGCTGCTTACAGAACTATACAGTGTGTTCCCAAGAGCTTGCTTTCTACAACGATGGATTGGAGCTCGCTTACAGAACTATACAGAGTGAAGCTGAATTGCCTTTTAATACGTAAATGATATAACCCAATCCTGTAATTCCATGTAAACTATGTACAGTAATGAAGATGATTAGTTTTAGAACAATCGGTATTGAACCTCATAGAAGACCTAGCATACAATACGGTCATATCAATGATCAGAACTTGGCTTACCTTTGCTGGGGTGCGGGAGGTCGATCTCTTGAGTTACTTTATAATAGAATAATGTATTTTAAAGGAATATTTTCTTCATCTACTCAGAAACAAACTAAAAGGCCGGTGAATAAATTAAGCTTCCCCCACCCCAAGCATGAAAATACATTCCAGTATCACAGAGCGCCACCTGCTGGCACTGTCTGTGTAGTGTCCATATAGAAATGTCTGCATCTTCCATTCAGGGATTGATTTTTGATGTCAGGCTGTTTTGTTTTTTTTAGGCTGGGTTCACTCCTGGGCGCTTTGATCAGTGCTGAAAAATGCTCAACACGTGAAATCCTATTAATTGCTATGGGCATGGTTCCCACCTGGGCATATTTCAGCCTGTTTTGTCACGCTGAAAAACACCCAACGTGCGAAAAAGTACTTGAGCTTTTTTTCGCGCGATGGGGCAGATTTCAGCGCGTATCCATTGATTTACCTCCCTGGCGGTATTCACGAGTGTGGCTCGGGGTTAATTTTGGGTAGCATGTAACCCGGAGCCACACTCGGGAATACAGCGTAGCGTCCGCGTCAGGGTTTTTTTTTAAAAACGAAAAATAATAATACCGCCAGGGAGGTTAAAAAACGTGTGTCAAACGTGCGTTTCATTGGACAGAAAAGCGCTCTGCAAACGCAAGGGCAAAAAATGCACATATAGCAAACGCCCAGGTGTGAACCCAGCCTTAAAGCGGAACAGATGCAAGTAAAAAAAGAAAAACAGCTTGTTCAGACAAGCTCAGCTCCAGAACACGATGCGTTTCTGCACATTTTTTACGTGATTTTGATGAGTTCCGGACCCTCTTTCTTTTTAAATTGGTTTTGCTTGGATTTCAATTGCGTTCATGCGTTTCTATGTATTCCAGTGAAAAAAAAGCATGGTGCTCCATTTCTGTTGAAAGCTCTGAAACTGAATGCAGTGGTGTGAACTAGCCTCTTTGAAAGCCATTGGAATTCCTGTATATGCATTTCCCATAACTAAATTAAGTGACGTGTTTCCTGTGTGTGGGGGAGGAGATTCTATCTCATGATGCTGTCCTGGAAGACTAATGGAAATAGAGTTACCTGTAAGTCCTAACTCTGAATTTTTGGTGCAGATAAAAAAAAAATGCACCAGTCTGGAGATGGTGTGAACAAGTCTAGAACTCTTCACACAATATGCGTTCAGGTTGTGCTGGCCATTATTTACAGTGCAGCCTGAACGCAAGACAAGGCAATTTGCCTAGTCATGGGTGGGTTTGGTTGACATCAATGCTTTCCAATAATGTGTGCTTAAAGTATGGCATGCAATACTTTTCTTTTTAGCAAACCACAGTGAGACACGGTACAAATGCATTGCACGGCAGTGAGCCCAGAGAACCTAATGAAATGTCACTTGCAATATTTAAAAAAAAACAAAACGTGAAATGTGGTTTGATCAAACACATCGGCAATGTCCAGGAACACACACACCAGTAGCCGTGAGGTTCAAAACGGCTGCTGGTGTGAACATGCCCCAAAGACAAACACGGTTATTCACAAAAGAGTGAAGAGTTTGGAGAAGGCAGGAGAAGTGAACAATCTAGGCCAGAATAGCTGAACTGGAAAGCGAGCTGAATTGGAGAATTTTTCCAAATCCGCTATGTTATCCTACATTGTTCACTTCTCCTGCCTCCTCCAAACTCTTCACCCTTTAGTGAATAACCTTATAAGTGCCCATCCTTTGCAAATTAATATTAATAATCAGGGCCGGCCTTAGGAGTGCGCGAGCTTTTGTTTGCGGCTTAACAAAATAGGAGTCTTTAAATGGTGCGGATTTTGGGGGAAATGGGTGTGGTTACTGGGGGTGTGGTCACTAAAGGGTGTGGCCACTGAGTGCTCTGTAAAGCTTCCTCGCACAGGGCGCCTAAAGCCGTCCCTGATAATAATAGATGCACCAATATTAGTATTGGTGCCGATACAAAGTATTTGGCGAGTACTCACCCAAATGCTCCGATACCAGAACTTCTGGTCAGAGGGAGACCTCCCTCTGACCGGCAGTGTAGAGGGAGCATGGTGCCTGCTTCCTTTCAGGAGGCCGGGAAGTGGGTTATGACCCGCCTTCCGGCTTCCTGATTGGTTAGAAAGCCGGCTTCATTGCCAGGCAGTCTAACTTCCTAACCAATCAGAAAGTCACGTGGCACATAATGACCCGCCTCCCGGCTTCCTGATTGGTCAGGAAGCCTAGCTTCCTGACCAAAGTGAAGCCGGCTTCCTAACCAATCAGGAAGCTGGGCGGCATGTCATGACTCGCTTCCCGGCTTCCTAATTGGTCAGGAAGCCACACTGCACAGCAACAAGTGAGGCTGGCTTCCTAGCCATTCAGGAAGCCAGGCGACGGGTCATGATCCGTTGCCCGACGGGTCACGATCCGCCACCCGACATCCTGATCATCGGGGCACACGGCACTGGTACTCGGTACCGGTGAGTACTGTAGAAGAAGCATCGGTACTCGTGCTTGTTACTGAAAAAACGGTATCTTTGCATCGCTAATAATAATTATAAAGCAAACATAAAAAAAAGAAAAAAATGTGTTCTTATTTTTTGAATTTCATTCTGCAAACATTACAACTGCAATCAGTGTATTGTGGGTGCCATGCTCTGGCTCCTGCAGACTCTTCTTCCCAGTTCTTGTCCATACTGGAGGTACGGACTTTCAGCTAAGAGACAGGAGGAAGTATTGTGCTGCTACGTGGAGACCTGAATGAAGGACACCCTTTGTACACTGCCAACAATCAGCTTATTTTTTTGGTTTATTTAGTTAAGCTTTAGAAATGAAAGACAGAAGCTGATTAATTGCCATGGGCAACTGCTCCAGATTCTGTCTGCTCCAGTTTTGATAAATTCCCCTTACAGTGTCAGTGTGTAAAAACACCGGTAAGTTGATGTGCATCGATACACGTTTACATTTGGTTTTATGCAAGTTTCAGCACATTTTATGTGTGTTGGCAGTCATTGATGTGCATTTTCGGATGCCTACCCCATTTCCAGTGTCATTATTTTCTTTTGCTTTTAGTGGGTTGATTTTGTGTTTCCTCTATATGAGTTTTAAATGCATTCATGTGCATTGTGTTACAGAAACATGTTATCAAGGTTACAAGGTTTGGGGGCCTCATCTGCAGCCCTTGAGATCCCCAACGGGCCACACATATTGGTCAGTATATGCAACGCTAGAAAGGACCCTCAGAGACCACAGAATTATTAGAGGGAACAGATGGAAAACACGGAAATGCTACAGGAATGTTTAGAGACCAGTTCTAAGAGACAGTCAGAGGCCGTGAACCTCCAACTTTCTAAGATGGGAAAGAGGGATGCCTTTCATTGTATTTGGGCAATGGACTCACCCCTGCCAAACGGGCCCTGTTGCCTAGCATCCTGGGTAGTGATAGGCCGAACACCCCCGTGTTCGGTTCGAATTCGAACACGGGGAAAAGTGTGCTCGGATGTGAACAGAGGCCATTGAAAACAATGAAAATCCTCTAACATTGTAGTGCATAACCCCTTCAACTAAAGAATACAGAGGTGTGACAAAGCCTAACTATGGAGTAGCAAGCAAATTTAAAAAAAAATGATTGTCAGGTATAACTACAAAGTTTGCCTTTAGGAGAAGCTCTGCGCGTCTACTACTGTGTGAAGTTTAATCGTGTGGCAGAAAGTACGAAATGCCTGCACTACAGTACTTGTTGTAGCCATGAATGACTTATTGCATATAAGGCCATATGTTCAGCCAGAGACAACTGAGAGCTCTGGTTTGCTACTACACTCCTACAGACTGCTCTGGCTGGTTCTAGAAATGTCTGGAGCAGCTGGCATTACATAACACAGAGATTGCTCATAGGACAGTCATTAGCAAGCTGCCTTTCATTTGCATCCTGTCTCCTTCACATTCCTTTTATGTAACATTTCACTGACTCAGTCCTTTTCCACTACTAACAGCTCATCCAGATAGAGTCATGTCCTTTACACAGAAAGGCATTATGCAGGGGGGGGGGGTTGTAGAGAAAAAAAAATGGTGCTTCTAAAGGCATATTTGGGGGTTTTTTATGCCTCTGAATGCAGCTTTATTTTGTCCAATGTGTCCATGCATATTGAGGCATTTAGATCTGTAATTTAGAGCAGCGTTCATTTTATGGAGCATAAAAATAAAATGAAATAAAATGCGCCAAAACTGAGTTTAGAAATGAGCTTACTGCCATTATTTGCATGTAAATGTGTGTGTTTGCACATAGATTCATTCTAGTGGCTACAATAAAAGTAGTTTATGCACCTTGTGACGTTTGGTGAAGTTAGCACAAATGGTGAGCGCTTAAGGACCAGTCTTGAAGCCACTTTAACATAAAACAGGACAGTCTTTTATTGCTTTAAGAACAGAAAACCGGAAAATTAAGCTTCATACTTACCGCAATTTTCCTTTCCTGTACAGCTCCATGTCAGCACGCAATGGGTTAATCCCACCCTCCTCATCTTTACCAGGATTGTAACTCAGAAATTTGGGCTTCCCAGAAACCCCACTGTTCTGTAACTAGACGATTTTGAATAGGTGGGAATCCTTGTGCTGACATGGAGCTGTACAGGATAGGAAAATTGCGGTAAGTATGAAGTTCAATTTTCCGGTTTTCTTGTCAGCTCCATGCTAGCACACAATGGGAATTAACGCACACAACTAGGGAGGGAATGTATAAACATCGCCGTCTAAGGCCCCATTCACATGTAGCGACATACCTTTGCAGCGGCCGGGATAGCGCGACTTTCGGGGCGACGTTCCAGCGACGGTAGCGCGACTTTCTCTGTCGGGCTCCATAGAAAAAAAGCAAAATCCGCCAAAAAAGGGTCCGGTAGAAGCGACTTGCAACCACGACGAGCGACATGGAGCTAAGACAGCTCCATTGACTATCATTAGCCGGCGACTTCTCGCGATATCGCGCGGCAAAAATGCGCGATATTGCGGCGGAAATCGCACGATAAGTCGCTACATGTGAACGGGGGTTAAAGCGCATGCGCCGAACCTCTGCTGGCACTTCCGCTCTTCCGTGGAGTGCACAGCGTCTCTGTGCGTTCCACACACACGCTGCCTTAGAACACCGCTGGCCGCTCGTTG